GTTCATTTCACACTAATGTTTGCGTGTTTATTATTCTGGTAAGTTTCATTACAAACAGGGTGAATGGCTGATAGCTGCGAGTGACTGGTGTATCTGCATTTGTATCTCTACTGACCCGACAGACGAATGTGCAACATGGACATTATGAGGATCTGAGGATTTCTTCACATAGTATCAAAGTGCCAATGAGGCAAGGATGGAGGATTACACAGCGAGTGAATCAGATGTGTAGGAATTCAAAAGCAGCCTGAAACACACACACAACCTGGTTATCAGGAGACAGGGAAACAAAGAGAAAGCTTTATAGCCAATAATCTTTGAGGTAAATCAGTTGTGAAAACCACAGACACTGTGCCCTGAATAAAAATCTGGCAAGGAATTAGTTCTGTTCCTGCCCTATGTGGGCTGGAGGATGGAAAGGATACTGTTCTTTATTTTAAATAAGGTGGTTTGACTTTATTTCAGGCTCCTAGCCCCTGTGGTCAGAGATCAGAGAGCATGCTGGCAGCTCATCAGAAAACAGCAGCAAGCCAGAACAGAAAACAAATACAAGAGAAAGATATAACAGCAGCTTAAGTTCATTTAGTTCAACATCAAAGGAATAGTTTGTCATTCTTGTCGAGAGTTAGATGAGAATATTGTTCCTCTAGTGTTTGTTTGTTAAACTTGAAGCTACTCCCGGCATCTTAGTTAATCTTAGAATGACAATAGGGAACACCTTATCTCCAATCAATGATCATTGATTAACAAAGAAAACAGGGTAAACAAATCAGATGAATCATGTTAATTAATTAGCTGTAGAAGGTGTTTGTTACGGGAATTTTGTACGACTGGACAGAGCAAGATCAGAATTTTCTTAAGATAAGATAAACTACATTAAACTAACTTCAATCTTCTCATTTAACACTTGGCCTGAAAGCATATAATGGTATATCCCAAAATGTTGAACCATTTTTATTTAAGTTTTTGAGCGGAGGCACGTAAGTGAGTTACGTCTGAGCTGAAATTTCTAAATGAACATCAACAGTTAATACTAGAGGTGTCACAATATTCTTCTAATTAGCAAAATGAGAGCTGATATCATGTTTTACTAATAAAATATTGTGTAAATAATCCTGTGATGTTGCAGTAAGTGATTGATTGATTTATTATATGTGCTGATGAAATCTCTCTCCTGCTCTCTTTGGGAGAAGGGGATGAGCGTCATACAAACAGCTGTTTATGTTGCAGCGTTCTCTCTCGACTAGTTGAATGTTTTATTTAAAACTACAGCCCATGGAAATCAGTCAGACTACGAAACTGATCTGATCTGTGTCTATGATCTCTTCTTCTCTGTATCAGCGGGGCACCTACACACAAACGGCACAGTCAGTGTCTTCTTAAAAAAATTCCAGTGTTCCTCATGAAAAGAAATGAAATTAGAGGACAGAGGAAGCAAAAACAATGAGAGAAAAATAGCAAATAAGATTTAAAATAAGATAAAGTGTTTGAGTGTCGTTAAAGGGGCCTAACAGCGAAAGCCTTTGTCTTTCTACAGACGCTCTAACTTATTACTTTCAATTCCAGTGTTGTATTTTAACTAAATCATCAATCCCATGCCTGATTTCAAGAGAATAAAAAAATAATATGGAATATAATGCAAGTCCAGCATAATGTCTGTGATTCATCGGTGACAATTAACCAAGCTGATTTGCAGCGATTCTGATCCTGAATAATTACACGATCAACTAAAAAGCCTGTAGTGTCATCCCGTCTGATCTTCTCTCTGTTGATCAATGAACTACATTTTTTGTCTCATGCTCATTTCTGAAATGACTCTTTCCACAAAACTTTTGAAGTATTAGTTTTATGGCTTTTAGCTTTCAATAAAAAAATGAATAGAAAATAATAAGTGTATGAATTAAGCCATGCCTTCATCTTTTCATCAATGGCCTTTCAGTCCTGTTCATACTGAAGATAGAGAGAAGTGGAGAGGTGGAGTTATGCACTTTGCACTTTGTACAGAAAGAGAAAAGGACGGATGAGGAGAGGAGGGATTTGTTTTTTGAAATCAATTACATTTTCTTAAACCTCGTCTGTTTCCTGAATTAATTAATTAAAAGTTATGTCCATGTATGTCGGAATGCATCTAGATGCATGGGAATGTGTGCACAGCTGAGTGTGAGTGTGTGTGTGTGTGTGTGTGTGTGTGTGTGTCAGCATGATTATGCAAGTGCTACTTTGCAAACGTCTTTGATGGCAGACGACAGCGCTAATAAGATGACATTTGTCATCAGCAAACAGACAGTGGCGGGAACGCAAAGATGAGTGAAGCTCTGGCTTAAACATACTACCGACATCCGTTTCATTCACACACCATGGCTTGACAGCACAGTTGTCATGGAAATCGCAGCGGACAGACTGTGTGCATGCGCGCGTGCGTGTGAGTGCGCACAGAACCGGAGGGCTGAGTGTGCAGCGGAAAGATGGATACAGTGGTTTTGTGTAAATGTGAGTTAGTGTGTCTCTTGGATAGCCTGTGGGACACAGTTAGAAGGGAGCTGTGCTGATTAGTTGAGGGACCAGTGGGACAGAAGGGGAACAATGCCTCCTCCTCTTCCTCCTCCCCCTGTCTTTCTGGTTATAAGCTGACATGACATGGTCAGAGAGGGGCACTACCCAGTCTATGGAATGGCTTTGAGGCACCAGCATGCTGCTTATGGGAGGTACCAGCCTCGCCGACATTACTTCTGCACTAAAGCTTTCAGCCGGGCGACAGCCAGTGGAAACAATGAAGTGTCGCTCCAATTAGGAGGCAAAATGTTATAAATAATTGAGTGGGCAAATGTAAATGTGTTTGTGGATGGCTTTGGATTTGTGTGTCAGTACAGATGTGGATATGGAAAATCTTTGAAACAAAAAAAAAATCACTGACTAATCAAACTTAATTGAGACACTTTGCAACAAAAACCCTGTTCACACGCGTAAAGGCCTTTTGGTTGCCTTAGGGAGAGACAAGAGAAAGTGGCACTTCATCTGAAACAAGTCTCGCTCTTACACCAGGACTTCTCTTACAAGATTAATTAACTGATCCCCTGGGTGTGCGCTCCCTTAAGAGCGCATGTGTTTGCCTGCCCCTGTGTGTGTGTGTGTGTGTGTGTGCGTGCGTTTCGTCAGATCCTGCCAAATGTCGGGAGTGCACCCAATTAGTTTAAGAGTCCAGGCCCACACACCTGTCTACCTGTGCTGACAATGGCCCACGGCTGTGCGCATACATTTACACATTAATTAACCATCTCGGGCCATTAATTAGTCACTCAGCAAAGTTAATGACTAGCCACTCAATGGTAAGTTACACCAGGGAGGGAGGAGAGAGCAGGCAGGGCCACATACAAATACTGTGCACACACATGCAAACACAGACACTGTGCACAGCCTATATCACACACTCCTAAAAGATATATAAAGGAATCTTTATAATAATATATGTGATGGTATGTGTGCAAAAACAAACAAATGAGCAAATACATTTATCTCCATTAGTATGACATAGGGGCCAGATGTTCTTTGCCAAAACACTTAAAGTTACGAAAAACCTCCTTAAGTGCTAAATCCTTTCTTATGTTCCTTTTTCATTTTATACAAATCTTTTTCTGCTATGAAATGATATATCACAAAAAAAACCAATACAATAAGATGTTTTCCTCTCACTGTTATGGTTTGTTGGTGTACGGTAGATGCAGGTTTACTTTAACTGGAGATATATCTCATCCTAAGTCTTTTTCAATGGAACACATATATTAATAGATATTTTTCACCTTTTTCCCAGGTAGACTGGCCCCCAACTGCAGGAGATAACGTATTAATCCTAGAATGCTATTGATGTAGTGCTTTTCTCCTCATGAATGTAACATCTGCCATTGTCCAGCCAATGAGAATATGGTTGGACGAGATCATATCGACCAATCCAATTAGAGGTTACAGCCCTAGACATTCCAAAATTGCATTTGTCTGGGTCTTTCACGACTGAGACAAATGAATACATTTTTAAATTGAAGCTATCATGAAAAAGCATGGGTGAATCATTCTATGATGAAAATAATAGTTACTTTTAATTAAGGTTTGAAGGGAGTGCAGCATACATTTGGCAAAACAAACAAAACCCAATCATGGTCTCAGCTCTCAGATCAAATGTGCAGTCAATCTATTTTATACTGATATTAACGCATATCGTACTTATCCCTTCAGGAGTACAACAACCTTTCTGATTTTCTACCTTTTATACTGTTGCATAATGGGATATGGGTGTATATGTCAACGTTCACTTGTTTTTTCTTTGGGTGGGCGAGTAATTTATCCACCCTCTTGGCATCTGCTTAATTCTCCTCCTAATAACATAATAGATCTCTAATGTGTTCTTCAGCAATGCTTTATCATAGACCTGTGTGTAGTTGTCTCACAATGACAACAGACTCGTCTATCATAGTGAGACAGGCCATCGGGACCACCAGGAAAAATCCCACCGCATCACTGGGTCAATGGACTGTCAAAAAGTACATGACGTTTTTATTGTCTTCAGGAAACAGGCAGAACTTGGATGAAAGCTGGTAGTTTCTGCTTTAGCTGTGCTATTTCCTGAAATGGGAATGCAGTTCTCAGCAAGCAGGCAGACGTTGGTGTAACACCAGCCCTATCCATTCAACTTTCAGGTTGTTCAGGCTGCGTTCATAGTCACTGGCCAATCAGAATAATCAACCCTCACCAACATGAGTAGGTGAGCTGGCAGCTGCTGCCACAGATAGGATGTCATTCTGTGACAAACACTGGCTAGTACCCTCTACAAAATGAATGACATGGCATTTGATGTTAAGAGAAAAGCGAGAGAAGAGAAAATATTCCAGACATCTGTAGCCTCCTTCAGATCAAGTATCAGTGTTTGGGAGAGCATGGGATTTAAGTCGTTTCTCAAATGAGGCCTGATGACTCATAGCTGCATGTGCGACAGCGTCTGTGCATGTTAC